TATGACATGTCGTTATTATGAGAAAAATTATGTCTTTTTTTAGCAATGTAAGTTCTCGTTATTATGACATAAGTGAGCAGAACAAATAATATGTGTGTGGCAGCAATGCGTCATCGTATTTGTTTGTTAAACAGCAAATAAGCTCCCAGTATACCAGAATCTGTTTGGAGCGGGACTTGAACCAGCGGTCGTGGCGGTATAGGGGTCAAACACTCTTAACAAAAAGGCTAGGACCATTGCCTCCAACTTCTGTAGCTGCACAGCTTTTACACACTCTCTGACATCCGTTAGCCTATATTATGAACGATTTCTTGTATTGGAAATTAAATTAGCTTAGCTAATTTAATATTATAAACCAGCTCTTATAATGCCCTGTTATTTATGCACATAAAAGGCATTTGTGTAATAAATGATATGGGGTTGGTATGCTAAAATGCTGTCCATTTTAAATTGATAGATGTTTATTAGAAACTATTACTTTTGATCAATTTATTGCATGATGAAAGTATACATTTCTTCAAAAAAAAAAACACCTTACTGATCAGTGCCAGGCGCGAGTCCAACGAGTGTGGAAACGGTACTATGGCAAGCCAAGATGTACGCTACATTTACGCTATAGGGAAATCGCGTTTACATGAACGATTTCTTGTATTGGAAATTAAATTACTCAAAGCTAATTGAATATTATAAACCAGCACTTATTTATATACATAAAAGGTATTTATGTAATAAATGATATATAAACAAGGGGTTGGTATGCTAAAATGCTGTCCATGTAATTAACAATTACATTAAAGTATGCTAAAGACGTGGAATCGGCCTATGTTCAATGCTAGTAGAGATGAAAATATATAAAAAGTTACTCTGTACATAAATATTTCCTATCAGTTCACAGGCACTTCTTCCGCTAAAACGATCTGTGGTAAATTAGTCTGGTCTGGTTCTGTTCATCATTGATTGGGTGAGAGCAGTTCAATATTACTGGCTGTGGAAATCAGTGGGCGTGGCTCATTATACTACAAGGAAAACGCCGTAAATAACGTGCTCTTATGTGCAATCAGAACGGCGTTTTTTACGGCGTCCTGTGGCAAGGCGGACGGCGTTAAAAGCGGCGCTTTTTACAAATACTAAAACGCCGTTAAATACAGCGTTTTTTACGGCATCTGCTATAAGGACGGCGTATTTGACGGCGCTAATATTGTTTAAAACGCCGTCAAATACGGCATTTTGTATGTAAACGCGATTTACCTATAGCGTAAATGTGATGCTCTTGGCTTGCCATATTAAAGCAGGGCACCCTCCTGCATTCTTAACAAACTCTGAGGTGTGCACAAGCGCATTTAGAGCGTCTATAATGAGCCGATTTTGGGTATGGATATAGAAGCCCTATGACTACAACTACCTTCATTTGAACTGTCATAAAATTATGAAATTATCGCACATTATGGGATTTTTTTCATTATTGATCGTACATCATACAGAGGTCAAAATTATCGTACAAATACGATAATTATTGTACGTCTGGCAACACGAGGTCTCTGCAGAGCAAAAGTGTGTGTTTCTGACGTTGTGGGTGTTTTCAAACTGATGGGTGTTTCTAAACGATGCAATGAAATGATCAACCTTACCTAACCCCGCCCCTAAACCTACCGTCACTATGACGTCAGCCAATCAGGTAACGCCCCGC